CAGAAAAAAAAGATGTCCAACATATATTGTTACTCAAATCTGTGAAAAAAGCCTACAACACTAGGCTGGTTAGTGAAGCGGTTAACTATCAGATGGCACTCTGTTGGGTGTTCCGTGATCTTACAAGTGTTGGACATATTCCCAGGGCCTCCACTGAATCTGATAACCTGCAGCTGTTTTGACTCTGTTGGTTCTACAGTGTGGAGAAACATATCTTGGCCACAGCCAGGTCTGCCTTTTTCCACCTTAGGCAGATTGCATACCTGTAGCCCTACCTAGACGGGAAGTCCCTGATAGCACTAGTTCATACATTGGTAATCTCAAGGATTTAATATTGCAACACTCCCTATGTGGGGCTGCCCTTAAAGGCAGTATGGAAGTTGCAGTAGGTAAAAAATGTGTTGGCCAGGTTGTTCTCAGGAATTTTGAGATATGATCAGATTTTCCCAGTCCTGGTTCACCTGGAGTGACTGCTAGTTTGATTCCTTGCCCAATTCAAGATACTGTACTAATATTGATTTATAAAGCCCTGCATGGTTTGGGACTTCATTACCTATCAAAGCACCTCTCCCTGAGATCGACTAACCACGTGGCTCATATCTCTCAGGATTTGATGGTGCAGGTGGCCGTCCCCCAAAAGGCCAGGAGGTCTATGACTAGGAACTAGGCTTTCTCAAGGATGGCCACCTTCTGTGGAATACTCTGCTTGTGGAGGTCTGCCAGGCCCCTTCCTTCCTGATATTCAGAAAATGCATAAAAACATTGCTTTTCAAGGAGACATTTTGGAATACTTTCCCTTTATTTCTGTTTGTTATTCAGTTTCATTTACTTTTTTTAAATACGTATTTTGCAGTCTGTATTTTTGGCCATTGCTGCCATATTGGGTTTTCAAAAGTGTTGTCCTCCTTTTTATATGTTTATATTGTGGATTTGGTGGAGTTTGCTTGTTTTCTTTAACGTTTATCTTTCTTGTTGGAAAGACTAGTGGGATCCCACTAGATGGTGCAGTAATTTATCTTTCCTGTTGGAAACCACCCAAACTAGTGGGATCCCACTAGATGGTGCAGTATGGAAATAAAAAAATCAATGTGATATATAAAGTTACCATATTTCATGTCAGGGAATATAGAGTTTTTCTTTCTTCTTTCTATAGTGAAAAGATTGCCTGTCACTCAGCGAATCCTTCATTGTCTTCTGTTGAAGGATGCTTCCTGCTAGGAGCAGAAGTATCCTGAAATGTATCATCAATCTCCTATCAGAAAACCTGGAAATTAAATTAGATGGCATATTGGGCAAAAACATAGGTGTCTAGTACAACATACTTTGGCAGATAAGGTCTTGATTCTCCAAGGTCTTGATTCTCCATCTGTAAAATTGAAAGAATGTTGAATTGGTATCCACAGGTGCATGCTGCATTAAGAAGAGTAAGTGCTTCATACTTTTCATATTTCAGAAGTATCGTTAAGCGTTCTCTGTAAAATGGAAAGAATGTTGAACTGGTATCCACAGGTGCATGCTGTATTAAGAAGAGTAAGCGCTTCGTACTCTTCATATTTCAGAAGTATCGTTAAGCGTTCTTTGTGAAGCCATGGCTTGAAATCTGAAAGGAGCTCCTTTTGCTTTTCTGTCTCTCAGTACTTTTCTGTCTGAATGACAGTAATTGGTCTGAATTTGTTCTCTTCCTGCAAGAAGAATGTTTGGGGTCTGATTGCAATTTCACAAAGGCTTGCATAAAACTGTTTGGTTATATGTTATGATTGCACAGATGGGAGCTTGGAATGAATGACCACTAAGCCTTTTTTAAAAAAAACTTTGTGGGGGATAGACCTTTCTCAAGCCAAATTCCAAAAGTAGTTCCAGCTGCTGAGCAGCTGCAAGTGATCTGTTTTTTCTCACAGAGCTTAAAAGTTCTTTAATCAGTATTTGTTGTTTTTGTCAGCAGCAGTGCTGAGGTGTGGAGAGACAGAGCAGATGCATTAGGTTGGCAAATTTAGCTTTATTTTGACCTCTCTTATCTCACTTCTGCTGTCTTCCTCCGGGCTGAAGGAGGCTGGAATTAGTCTGGGAAGTGGCTATAAATATGCACCTGTGTAAATGCATGTTCAAAAGGAAGTGGGTTAAAGCAACTGCTGTACTGGGCTATTTCTGAAATGCATCCTCTCTAGTGATCACACAATGGGTTTGTGCATTTGGAATAGAAAATGGTTTTCTATAAAATTCAACATTAGCCTTATCATTTGAAAACTGATGCCGTATTATGGGGATTGCCAAAGACACAATCCCTATTCAGTGCTCTGGTTTACTTACTTACTTACCTTACTTATTTCCTGGCCATCTAGTAGCAAGCCACTACTCTGAGTAACTAACACAGAGATGCATACACAGAAACACACAAACCACCCACGTATCCACCTATGAACAGAAACACCCAAATCATAAAAATTAAAAGGAAAAAAATCCTCAAAAGCAACCAACAAATAAGTTCAAATGTAATCACAAGGGGAAGTGAGACAATCATAGGGAAAATCACAATTAAAATGGTGAGATAGAGAACAAAGAGTTACAGAACGCCCCTCTTGTTTATCATATGAAGAAATAAAACCTAAATAATACTTGAACTGCTTTTTAAAATTTGGTCATGTAAAATAAGCCTATGAGATTCAACACTGTTCTTTAGCTGGTGCCTTCCTGATTTCCACAGTATCTGCTTTGCCTTCCATCCTAGCATTGACTGTTTTGGAAAGAAATAAAATATATATATTGATACCTGGACAGACTTTGTTAATCTTCAACTGGGGTGGGTGAACAGCAGTGCCCCTCCAAACGATATTGGAATGCAAATTCCTTCAGCTCTAGTCAGCCTAGGCAGTGTCCTTCAGCACCATTTGGAGAGCCAAACATTTTCCTTCTGTGCTTTAAAGCTCAAAACTCCATGCATTGTTTAGAGGTCTGCGCTTACCAAATATGGGATGTGGTGGTGCTGTGGGTTAAACCGCAGAAGCCTCTATGCTGCAAGGTTGGAAAACAAGCAGTCGTAAGATTGAATCCAGATCGTTCCGTGTCTAGTCGCGCTGGTCACATGACCACGGAAACTCTGGCTCTATGGCTTGGAAACAAAACTCCATGAATTGTTTATAGGTCCGCTGTTACCAAATATGGGATGTGGTGGTGCTGTGGGTTAAACCGCAGAAGCCTCTGTGCTGCAAGGTTGGAAAACAAGCAGTCGTAAGATTGAATCCAGATTGTTCCTTGTCTAGTCGCACTGGCCACATGACCACGGAAACTCTGGCTCTATGGCTTGGAAATGGGAATGAGCACCGCGTCCTAGAGTTGGACATGACTGGACTAAATGTCAAGGGAACCTTTACTTTACCTGCTGTTACCAAACTCTACTAATAAAGTAATGATACAGGGCCTTGAGAAATTAAAGCACAATCATAAGGACAAATATAATATAACCAAAAGTTAGGAGATGATGGAACATTCCTTATAGATACAGTAACTGTATAAAGTCATCAAGTCACAAACCTCCACTAAAGTCACACACATGGGGGAGGGGTGACAAGGAATTAAACATTTAAAGCACATTTTACAACCATATTTTACATATATTGTTGCCTCTGACTTAATTACAACCCTATGAATTAGAAACCTCCTGAAGATCCTATGATCCTTAACAGCTTGCTCAGGTCTTACAAACCCAAGGCTATGAGTTCCTTTATTAAGGCAATCTGTTTCAGGTTAGATCTTCCCCATTTCCTGCTGCCTTCCAATTTTCCCAGTGTTGTTGTCTTTTTGTTATACACATGCATACTTCAATAGGCATTTGGAACTGGCTTTGTGTTGGAGATTGGACACTTGGTTTAAAACAAATAAGGCTGCATTTGCAGTCTTAATCTGACAAAATGATAGCTCTAAACTGCTTTAAAAAGCAGAACTATCAAACGTTTCCAGTGTGGTATGCAGACTGATTTATAGGGAATTTTATTTACAGAAAATGTCGAAAACAGGCAAGTGTATGAAGTGTTTGCATCTGATCAAATGAAGAATGGAAGCAGACACAAATTGAAAGTCTAAATTGGATGAAGTGTTGGCCTTGTGTTTCTTCTGTTGGTTTTTCCCTCCTGAGTATTTATCCAAAGTAGTTTGTTGACATACAGAATAATTTGATTTTAATTATCTTAGGCATAGTTTTTTTAAATGGGTTAAGTGGTGAAAGGATATTTAGTCTAACCTGCCAAGATGCACATTTCAGATATGTACATTTCAGAATGTTAAAAACCAGACCTGAAACACTGGGATTGTTTTTAACAGCCGTATATTTGGAAATGTTTTACAGATTCCAGTCAATTGGTGCACCGATAAGATTACAGGAGTGGTTGAAGTTTTTTTTTCCTGTAAAGCATGAATTTATGCAAATTCTCTCCCTTGGGACCAATTTGTTTGGTTCCTGGGAAAAGTAATAGGGTAGTTGAGGAGGATGCTCCCATTTTTTGGAAATGTGCTTTTGTGTACATGCAGAGAGCATGGATTAGAGCACATTGACCTACATAGTGGGTTGTTTTGATAGATCTGAAGGGCTTGAGGAATGTGGCATTGTTTGGACTGGAGCACCTGCAACTCCCTGCGGCTGTCTAGGAAATCAGAGCTGCCCTTTGAGCTTTAGGAAGGAAGGACAGAAAATGCAAATAAAGCCATCGTGGTAGAAAATATCACAAATAAAATGCAATATATTGAAAATATATTTTGTTCCTCTTAGAAATGTAATAATGTGCCATCAAGTCAGTTCTGACTTATGATTACACCATTCAGGGTTTTCCTGGTAGAGAATACTCAGAAGTGGTTTACCACTCCCTTCCTCTGGGGGTGCCCTGGGACGGTGAAGCTTGCCCAAGCCCGCATAGGCGGGTTCTACTTGCAGGAGTCATCGTGGGGAATCAAAAATGTAAAGACAATGGCAAATACCTGAATGTATTTTTCTCCCCACTTCTTGTCTTTAGTTTCTAATAAGTGACCGTGACAGAGACCCACAGTGTAACCTTCATTGCTCCAGATCCCCAACCAAGCCCCTCTGTGCCTCTGATGGCAGGACGTATGAATCGACGTGCGACTACCAAAGAGCAAAGTGCAGGGAGGGAAGCCTGAGTGTGGCTCATCGGGGCAGGTGCAAAGGTAAGGAAATGAAAGCTGGTTTTCTTGGCATGGAGTGGGAGTGTGTTGTAGAAGTTTTCAAAGAATAAGTAGATTCTGCCGTTTAGTCTAAGGATTATTGTCTAGTACAGGGGTCCCCAACTTGTGGCCCGGTGCTGGTCCGTGGGCTTGCCGGAATTGGGCTGTGGAGATGGATCTCTGCCCCCCCCCACGGTGGGCGTGTTGCGCTCATGCAGGGGCGTGCTGTGCTGCATGCAGGGAGCCCCTGCCCCCATGCACGGACCCCGCCCCCCTGCCTGCATGCAAGGTGGGTGTGTTGAGCTCGCGCAGGGGCATGTCGCACTCGTGCAGGGGAGCCCCCCATGTACGGACCCTGCCCCCCTAACCAGTCCGCTGGTCTTGTAGATACCTTTGGTAAATAAAGGCCCTCTTGGGGAGCTTGGTAGACAGTGATCTGTACATCTTTTTCCTCTGAGGGTGTTGGGAGAAAAGAACGGCTTTAAAAACACATTTCATTCCTCACTATTTTACTTCAAAGTACTAATATGATAGAGAGAAAGCAAATGCATTTTAAGACTGAATGCATAAAGTAATCTTGGAGACTCCTACAAATCAAAACTTAAGAAATACAAATACAGTTCCTGAGCTTACTTGTGGAAATTCCAATAGTTAGAATTTGCCACAGGGTAGTTATTGACAGTTACTGAAACCTGTATAGATTTTAATATGCAGCCCAAGTGGGCCTTCTGATATTTTGTTTTCTTTTGTCGTCTTCATAGTGATTGGGCTAGTTAGTGATAATTCGTATTTATTTATGTTTTATATATTTGTGACTTTTTATAATATCTCTAGTTTTAAGCAGCAATTACAAAATAGCTCAAAGGATAAAACTATTGAAGGAAATTAAGAAGTGTAAAACTCACATTAGCAACTAGATAAAAACTGGTCTTTCCAGCCACTCCTTTACACTTTAGTTATCTTATCAAGTGAAATGTCTTAGGTAGCCAGGCACTATCTGTCAGCATTCTTTGATTTGAAACCTGGATAAAGTAATAAAGTTACGCACCTTAAATACACAATTATGATAGTGAAGGCATGAGTCCCAAATATACTTCTGTTAGTGAACGGGAGTACACCATGGTTTTCATGGGGTCATTCCTGTATTAAAAAGATGGTCATTTAGGAGTTGCCACACATCTTTACTATGGTCCTCATCACTGTGGTTGTTTTTGTTTGTTTGTTTGAATGGCTTTTAAAGAATTTTTAATGCTTTCTAACTTAAATCACAGCTTACAGTTTCTCCTGAAATTTAAAATTGAGTAATATCTCTGTCATTGTTGGCTGTAAAGCAAGGAGTGTTTTGAAAGAAAGAGTGCAATTTTCTTCCCATGAACTGAAACGTCTTTGGAATAGCCTCCCTCCTGAGATTTGTATGACCCCTTCCCTGGGGATTTTTAAACGCCAACTGAAAACCTGGCTGTATAAGCAAGCCTTTCCTCCATCCACCGCCTGATTTTGTTCTCTGTGCCTTTTCCCCACCTGATTATTGTGGTTTCTTTTCTCTTTTTTTAGTGAAATGTTGTTATGATTTTAAATTGTATTAGATTTGATCTGTTGTTA